GGTTCTAAATGGCACTGTAGATTTGTGGAACCTCTTCTATAGAAGAGGTTAGAACTGGCAGGAACCCACCCCTGAAAGGGAGACACCAGTTTTGGAGAGTATCAAATGAGAAGGTTGGAAGATATTTCATGGTGCTTTATTCTAATAGGGATGTAGAGAGTCAAGACTAAGCAAGTATACTCCCAGTTTGCTATTTAGCACTGAGCTATGCACAAAATCATGGAAAAGGAAATTGGAAAGATGTTAAAGATGGGAATTGTAAGGTAAAGGTGTCCCTGTGAGTTTTATTCCGTGAGTGGTAGCCAATTTCAGGGGGTGGTGCTCATCTCCTTTTCTGTAAGCCATTGAGCCAGTGTTGTCCAAAGACAATCTTACAGTCACATGGCCAGCATGATATCATGCCACAGCACAGAGCTTATGGTGAAACACCAAACACCACTTAGCTTTTCCCACCGAAGTGGTACCTATTTATCTACTTGCATTATAGATGCATTCAAACTGCTAGATTGGCAGGAGTTGAGGCAAGGGACAGGAACTCACTTCGTCAAGTGGTGGTAGAACTTGAACGACCTGAAAATAATGTTCTCTTGGCATCTATTAAGCCAGTGGTTCTCAACCTTCCTAAGGCCGTGACCGTTTAATACAGTTCCTCATGTTGTGGTGACCCCCAACCATACAATTATTTTATGTTTTCTGTATTTTTTTGAAAATATGTGTTTTCAGATGGTCCTAGGCAACCCCTGGGAAAGCGTCATTCGACCCCTAAAGGGGTCCCGACCCACAGTATTAAGCCAATGAGCCATCCGCCTCTTAGGAATTATAAACTCTTTCAGAAACCTTAGATCTCAATCATGAGCTCCACAAACAAGCTTGGTGGAGAGGCTGTACAGAATTAAACAAGAAATTCCAGAGAGCTGCTTGATGACTGGGATGGATAAACTTTTGGAGCAGTTGAAAAGGGGTCTGTTTATTGGATCTGACTGGTGTGTAGACAAATGTTCCTAAAATAACAAGATCCAGGAATCTTCTAACAGCATCACTCCACAAGGTCTATACAATGTTAATGTTTTATTTTGGGGGTTAAAGATCTTCCCTGCCATCTTCCAAAGGCTGTAAATCACATTCTCAGAGGCCTAGAGCAGAGTTCCTCAAACCTTATGGCTTTGTGGACTGGTCGGGGAAGTGGGGATGGTTCTGCAAGTGAGGATGTGCAAATGGGGATCTGCACACACATGCATGCACTCGCCCAATTCTGCAGCTCTATTTCAAAGGGCTGGAGGCTCAGTAGTGAGCCACAGCCTGAGGGTTGGGGACTCCTGGCCTAGAGGACTTAATAGTTCCATAAATTGATGTTGTGGCCATGTTTTCAATTACATGGAAGCATATTAAACTTCTCAATGCATTGTAATGCATGAGACATATCTGGATTAAGGCCAAGAATTATCAAACTGACCTTAAGCAGTCATAAGTCACAAAGTAGACAAGTGAAATAGCCAATTTCTAAGACAGAGGCAGTTGGAATCATCCCTGGAAATAGTGAGATATTTTCATGAACGTGTATCCCGATACTGCAAACAGCTAAATTCTTTCATTAAAACTTAAAAACCCAAACCAGCTAATTGGGTGGAGGAACATCAAGCAACCTTTGAACACCATAGACACTGGAGAGATGCTAGTTCAGACAGGATAGAACCAGAGGTGGGTTGCTCCTGGTTCGGGCAAACTGGTAGTAGTGGCGGGGGAGACTCTGCCCACCCTCTCTGCACGCACGCAAGCACGAGCGAACTGGTAGTAAAAAATTAGAAACCCACCACTGGATAGAACCCATTACTTAGTTGTGTATTTAAGCAAAATGAGAGAATTTCCTTGGCAATTCCTTAAAACAAATGTTTTATGTT